CAAAAAAAAAAAAAAAAAAAAATGAAAACAAGGACAACTCGTACAGTGCGTGGGTTCACTCAGATTCTTCAGCACCAGAACCCTGATCTTTTCTTAGGGGCATGGGCTTGGAGTGCGAGGACAGCCGTGCACAGAAACCAAAACCAGGGTCAGTCTGAAACTTTCTCTTTGACTTCTGGCTTCTTGACTGGTGCCGCCTTCCCTGAGAGAGGTTCCATTTCTGAACTCGGTTTACATTTTTTCTGAGTTAAAAGTTAAGGAGTTTCCACTTTATCCAAAAGAAGAAGGTAAAGTGAGATTGAAAGCAGGTGCATTCGTTGTTTGTTGCTGGGTAATCTCTCTAAACTTAGGGGCTTAAAACAGTAGACATCTGTCATTTCAGGACGTTTCTGTGGGTCAGGCATTTGGGAGCAGCTTAGGCAGGGGACCTGGCTCAGGGTCTCTGGTGGTCATCATCTGAGGCTGGTGCCCCCTCACACAGCCGTTGGCAGGAGGCCTCAGTGCTGGGCTCCAGGCCTCGCCAGAGCTGGCTGCCCTAGAATAAGGGAGATGCAGTGACTGGCTGAAGGGGTGGGGCGAGGAAGAGGTACGGGCCCTCACTCTGGCGTCTCAATTCGGAATGTGCAATTTCTCACTTCAGGGACCAGCAGCCTCCCCGGATCGGCCTTCAGCGACGCGGGCACATCAGGACATGACAGAGGGCACTGGGGCCAGTGTTGGAAAAGAGGAGAATGGGATGATTCCCCTGGGTGAGCGCTGACCCCTCCCCACGTTCTCGCTGTCCCCCTGTGCCAAGGGGCCTGTGTCTCCGGTCCCAAGACTTGTTCAGATGGAAACCTGGAGAAAGGAAGTATGGTTTATCTACCCACCTGACTTCCGTCTCCGCTACCCACCCACCCACTCAGACACCCACCTACCCCTCCTCCACCATACGGCTGAGCCACCCCTGCATCCATCTACCCACCCACCATTCGCCCGTCAGCCCACCTCCCTGCTCCACTGTTCTTCCATTGCCCACTACCCCATCTCCCTCATCATCCATCCACCCTCCCCCACATATTCATTCATAGCCCCTTTCCCCATCTGTTCACTCATCCCCTTCACGCCAGTCCATTCATCCACGCATCATCCAGCCTTCCTTCCATTCATCATTCATTCATCCATCCAACCATCATCCATCCAGCTATCTGTCCGTCCAGCATCCATCCATTCATCGTCCATCAAACCATCATCCATACATCCAACCATCCATCATCCATTTATCCGTCCGTGCATCCTCTGTCCTCCAACCATCCATCCATCCATCCATTCAACTCTCCATCCATCATCCATCCATCCGTCTGTCCATCATCCAGCCATCATTCATCCATCCATCCATCCATCCATCCATCATCCATCCTTCCACCCATAATCTAACCATTTCTTATCCATCCATTCACTTATTCCTCCATTCATCCATCTTTCTATCCGTCCTCCATCCATCATCTGTCCAGTCACCCATCTTCCAACCATCCATCCATCTATTCTCCAACCATTATCCATCCATCATCCATTTATCCATCCGTCCATCAGTGCATTCATCCATCCATTTATCCAACCATCCATCCAGCCATCCATCCAACCATCATCCACCCCTTCAGCATCCATCCATCCATCCATCCAGCATCCACCCATGCATCGTCTGTCTGTCCGTCCATCCACTCTTCCCTGGGCGTTGACTGTGCCATGCACTGTGCTTCGTACGCGGGCACGGGAATGAATAAGAAGCCCACAGCCCTACCCTCTTCCCCGCAGTTCCCTGGCATTAGGCAGCCCCTCCTGTCCCCGCCCAGCTCTCACGCAGACCTGGCTGCCCTGACACGGGCCTTTACCAGCAGGAGACACAGCACCCAGGGTGGAGGCGCCGGAAACCGGGGACGCCCGGGCCGTGCGCCCCTATAAGCAGGAGCCCAGCAGCCCCCCGCTGGCCCCGCCGCCACCCAGCCTGCCCACCTTCCTGGCGGTCCCCAGCGCCACGTCCTGCCCCGAGTGCGGGAAG